GACTTAGACTTAAAGGTCTCCGAGCTGCCTGTTTGCAAATGCCTGCTGGGCGTGTAGGAGCAACAGAGAGACAAAATGTTACGCATCCCTTGGATCTTTAGAAAGACCCGCTTTTCATCTTTCTAGGACACTTACCCTGCCTAGCCATTCTAAGGACGTGTCAAGTATATGACATAATGGTAGTATTTTTGAGACTACAGTACCCCCCGCACCCCACTCCCTTCAAACCTGCAGTCTCAGGCTGTAATTACCATGCCATGATCAGAAAGTTGTGTTTTGTCAGGTTGGGCCCTGAATGGGTGGCAGCATAATTCCACGCTGCTGGTAGGAGCACGGTGCAGCTGTGCAAAATCAGAATGTTTGTTGTTGTTGATTGTTTAAGGCGTCACTTTCCTCTCTAACAGCCTAATGAAGGGATGTTGACTTCATTTGCACGGGTCCACCGACTGTTGCAAGCTTGACTTTTAATTGATTGAATGAGGTGAAATAAATCAACAAACTGGGATTTTGCCCTTTACATTATAAATGTGCATTCTGTTTATAACTATTTATATAAATTCTACAAGGTTGCCTAACAGTGACACAGTGAATTATTATATTTTGTACTATACTTATATATGCTACATTGAATTATATGATTAATTCTTAGGGTGTTTCACTTATAACACTATATGTGAGAAAACATAGCATCATATCCAGTTTAATTACTAAAATTAAAAACATAAATTTTATAAGCTCTTAGGAGTGGCAAGACATGATCCCTAACCGAGCAGGAACCAACCAATTCATTGTTAGAAGTAAAATTAGCATGCCAACAACAAACATAGACTAAAACTGAAAAGTTAGAAAACCAACTAAACTCTAAGTAAAATAAATGAAACTTTATGATGTTCGGAAGATAGTCTGTTTCAAGCCCTGACAAGTAGCAAAGGGTTCTTGAAATAAATTATGAAAACCACCTTTGCTTCAGAAACTAAATGTAAGAGAATGTTCTTGTGGACTCTGAGATATTATGATGCTCATGTCTACCTAAGTGAGGATGGTGATTGGAGGGACAGGGTGGTAAAGGCCACAGAGTCATAGGAGAGCAAAGAATTGTAGGCATGGGAATGCCACTGTTTAATGGGTGAGGAAACGGAAGTCCGTTCATAAAGGACACAGAGATGCAGGTCAGCCCACCTGGACCCGGGGTCCTGGGCCTCAGAGCAGCGCCCCCTTTTGTTATCTCATAAAAAAACAACTCAGTGTAGATGTTTCTCTCTTCTCCTGGAGAGAGACAGGGCATTTTCAGCTCAGGAGGTTTTCATCATAAGGATCTAGGGAACTTTATGAGGTAGGAACAAGTTTGAAAATACAAAGTTTGGTTTTGTGGTTGGTGAAGAGGCTCTGAGGATAGAAAGATCTAGGGAACTGGCTAGGAAGAGAAGGAGAGGCACGGAAGAAAGATAAGCAGTGTGTGGGGAGATAGAGATAGGGCACGCCGGGAGAGAAAAACCGCAGAGGAAGAGCGAGAAGGGAGGATAATGACAGGCAGGGAGACAGAAAGGCCCCGTGAGTTTAGATTGCTGATCAGGGCTGGTGCTGTGCGCTGTTTACAGCTCTTCACCTGCTCAGGAACTTGTGCCTTTGAGCCCTCACTTCTTATCAGGTATCAGGCAGAGCGTTCTGCCAAGGGAGAATCAAAAAATGTTCGCCACAGAAACAATCGGAGCGCATCGTCTTTAGATCTTCAGAAAATCAAATCGACAGGCCACATCCTCCCTCTCCGAGTGTCTCTCCCCTTGCTTTGAAGAAAGGGCATTGCATTTCAGCCTGTCTTTTACTGTGGGGTTTGTAATCAACACTGGATTTCTTATAATAGCAAGTTCTTGATCAGTAAAGAAGATATTTTGAAATTTAACTCTTATGACCTCTCCTCATTTGAGACACACACTCTACAGAAAGGAAAAGTCACTCTTAAGTCATGAGCGTGAAACTATTTAAGACAAAGGGTGACCTACCAGTGACCGTGACATAGCATTTACACTTTTAGTGATGACTTTTACAAGAAAGAAAGTCACACTAAGCCCTTGACCACCAACATGAGATGTTCATGTCACATTGGAATTTGTTCTCGCTCTTTCTGGAAAACCTCTCATCTGATATTATAATCAGTTGTTGAAAAACCATTTATGTTCTTCACATCAGTGTGAGATGTGATATTCCAGAGAGAGTACATTCATTTTACGTTTATTTGTAGCCAAAAGTGGATTAGCCTTCCTGTTTATTATTCATATGGACAGTTCATATAATCTGCATAAATGTTACTGCACTTACAGTCAAGTTGTTTAATGGAGGAGAGATTTTCAGATTCATCCCTGGAATTTCCTCATCTCTAATATTTTCATTATTTTTGCCTGACCTTACCATTGCTGCTCAATTTTGTTTTTATGTACACATAGTACATTGTCACCTGAATACAAGGTTTGGACACAGGGATCAGTGGCATCGGAGATGCATGCTATGAGGTGTCTGTTATGTGTAGGTACAATGCTCAGTAGAGAAAAGGTGGGAATAACAATTCTTGGCCTTAGAGGCTCATAATGCACTTGAGAAGACAGATCATATGCATAAGGAAAAAAATTTAATGCTACCATTTATTTACTAGACATTGGTATACCTTTTCATCTTAGTTTTCTTTCAGTAATTGGAAACCAAACTGAGGAGAGAAAGTATTTTCTTATTCTACTCAGATATACTTCCATGGGGTGAACACAGCACATAAACTTTCTCATTTAATCGTCAGAATATTGCCTCTGAAGTAGATACTATTATCCTCATTTTCTAAATTGAGGCTCAGAGAATTTAAGTTGCTCAATGATTGTAACTCTTCTTTATTTTGTAAAAATAGGCTTTTCTGTCTGCGATGAAGTGTGAATGTATATGCTTAAAATATTTCTGTGAAAAACTCCCAATTCAAGTATGCTTATTGGCTATATTTGAAATACTTCTTATGTAGTCCATCTATATTTTTCTCATAAGTTTGACTTATTTTCATTTGAGAGGATATTTGGTTTCCAAATGGAGAAATAATTTTAACTTATAGGAGTGGAGAAACCAGAGACATGCAGAAATTGGTGTTTATCTTAAAAGAGAGTTTTAATTATAAGGACCTCTTAAATCTAAAGCTGTTCCCTTTGGTGTAAGCCAGCGATTTTCAACCTTTTTCATCTCATGGCACATAAACTAATTACTAAAATCCCGCTGCACACCAAAAAAGATATTGTAGTTTCTGCTGCTATGACAGAAAAAAAAGGTGTAATTTTGATTCATTCACACCGGATGACTATTGTCATATTGGCTGTTGTAATTTTTTTTTAATTTAACAATCTAAGGAAAAAGAGGTCGGTGTTCCTGACTAAATAGTCAGGTATTGCATGTTTAAAAAATTCTTGCAGCACACGGTTAACAATCACTGGTATAAACCATTTACTGTGTGAACCGTGGTGTTTTCATTAAAAGTGGTGTTTTGGATGAATTTCTTGAAGTTCTGTGAATCTCAGCAAAAACATTATAGGGGGAGATCACATAAGAAGATGGCTTGCTTCTGTAGATCAGAATAAAGAATACTAGGTCAGCAAGAAGGAATGTTAGAGCAGCAATGCCTTACAGGTTGGTACAAGGAGAAAAGGGATGTGGAGAAAAAGAATATACACACAGACATATACACATGTACACTGATATCCTATATCCACACAAACCTAAACATAGATACTTTGCTTTTTTGGCAACTGATCCTAATAATTCCATTTAGGTGTTTTCTGGCCATATACATTAGCCCTACTAGATCTTTTGTCAGCCATATTCTTGAAAACAAAGAATTGATTCATTATTTATCATTTATAAAACCCTCACAATATATAGGTACTATGCTCAGTGATAAGGATATAATAACAGAGAAGATAGTCTTTGTCTTCAAGAGCTCCCAACATCCTGTGGGAAAGGCGTTGTTGCAGTGGTATGATGAAATAGAAGAGACATTCACAGAGAATTCCTAGAGGAGGGATATCATGGAGGGTTTCTGGAGGAGGTGATGTCTGAGCTGAGTCTGGAAGAGCAAGCAGCAGTTAGTCAAAAAGAAGTGGGGAAAGTGGAGGCTCTTCTAGTACACAGCATGAAGAAAGACCGAATACACACTGGGGTGGCTGGAATGTAGTGATGAGGGACAGATGAGAGGTGAGGGTGGAGAGGTAGGCCAGGTTTAACTGGACTAAGGGCTAACTGGACTTTGCACTGCTATTAACAGTGAGCCTTTGTAGGATTGAAAGCATGGCAAGGTCAAGCTTGTATCTTAATGGGTCTTTCTGGTGACTGTGTGGACAATGGGCTTTAGGTAGACAAAACCAGAGTTTGGGATCCAGTTAAGAGGCTGATGTAAAAATGCCAGCAAGAGATGCTGAGGGATTTGAACCAGCATCATGGTTCAAAGGGTAATGGGAACAGGGCAATGGTGGCGAGGGCTTACGCATATTTAGGAGGTACAGTTGGTTAAGTAAGACCAAGTACTTATTTGGATGTGGATGGATGGATTGATCAGGATTTTTCAGAGTTCTATTTTGGGTGGCTGGGCATGGGGTTGCGGAGGGCCCTAAATCTAGGTGGAGCAGAAACAGGGACTGGTATGGCCAGTTGGAGGTGTGGTTGGTTTAGTTTAAGGTTTATCTAGGAAGAGGTGATCAGCACATGGATATTTTAGTCTGGAGCTTGAGAAAGAGGTCTTTGGTGGCCGATCTGGGAGCTGCCCACCTATAGGTGTATTAATTTGAATATACAGCCTCTTCTGCGTAGTACATTTGTTGTCTTCTCCTGACTTGTATCTTAAAGCAAAGATTCACATCTCCATAAATACATAATATTAATAAGATACCTCCTTGTTGTGCATAATAACAGAGTGATCCCATAGAAGGGAACATGCTTTAGGAAAAGTGCAAGTAACCAGATGGTTGTTGGTTTTTTTCCAGTGTGGCCGTGGAAATGCCTGCCTCAGAGGGATGTCACTTTAGCTGACCTTCCACGGCTCATTGTATTGAAGACTCTGTCTCCACGGCTCTGTTCAGTTCAAAATGGCAGAAAAGGCTCCCCCGGGGTTAAACAGGAAGACTTCAAGGTCAACACTCTCTCTTCCACCAGAACCTGTGGACATTGTCCGGAGCAAAACGTGTTCACGGAGAGTCAAAATCAATGTGGGGGGCCTGAACCACGAGGTCCTGTGGAGAACGTTGGACCGACTGCCCAGGACACGCCTGGGGAAGCTGCGAGACTGCAACACGCATGAGAGCCTCCTGGAGGTGTGCGATGACTACAACCTGAACGAAAATGAGTACTTCTTTGATCGGCATCCAGGCGCCTTCACTTCCATTTTGAATTTCTACCGGACAGGGAAACTCCATATGATGGAAGAAATGTGTGCTCTCTCCTTCGGCCAGGAGCTAGATTACTGGGGCATTGATGAGATCTACCTGGAGTCCTGTTGCCAAGCCAGGTATCACCAAAAGAAAGAGCAAATGAATGAAGAACTGAGGCGTGAGGCAGAGACCATGCGAGAGCGGGAGGGAGAAGAATTCGATAACACCTGCTGCCCCGAGAAAAGGAAGAAGCTGTGGGACTTGCTGGAGAAACCCAACTCCTCGGTGGCTGCAAAGGTAAGAAAAGCGTGGCGTCGCTTCGCGGTGTGCGGTCAGGGGAGGTGCTGCCTACATTCCAGAGGGTGTGATTTTCTTCCTTGACGATGTCTTGGGAAGGCAGAACAAAACATGGCTACAGAGATGGTGAGGAATTCTTTCCAAAATCTTATTTAGTCACGTAGCATTATTCTGCCTGTGTAATGCCATCAAGTGGCGTTACTCTTTCATAGATGTTATTATGTCGGAACAGTCTGGGCAACAGAGAATGGAGGAGTCTGGTTGCCCTGCGCTGTGTGTTGATGTCTTGGAGGTCGAGGAGAAATCACTAGCTCAGATCCATCAGGCAGGGAGTCTTCAGGCCCATCCTGAGGAAAGGCAAGGTGTTGTCTTTGAGCATGGAGGAGGTGCCTCCTGGCCTGGTTCTCTAGAATGCAGGGAAGGAGTGGACGTGTAGCTCAGAGGGCTGGCGGCCCCTCACATGGGCCAAGGTCTAAGGTCTGTCTTATTAAGCCGTGTAAGGCACGAGTCAATGTCCAGATGTACCCATTGACCTCTCCTTGTGAGTCTACTCTGACAATGATGTTTCTGACTGTTGGGGTAGAATTCTTTCCACAACTGAGGTATCTCAGAGCTCATAAAGTGTTTGCCAAAAATGAAGGTAAATCCATATGTTTCCACTGTGCCTGCATACATCCAGATCTCAGAGTAAATGTGTTGTTAGTTTTTGCCAGTAATGTCAGTATTTAATGCAACTGCGTGCTTCTGTTTATCTAATTTTATTTGGAGGTTTACACTGATTTTTATCCCATATATTTAGTTTTATATTGCACTATAAATTATGAGTAAGAAGTCAAAAGACTCATCTTCAGCTACAGAAATATAGTATTGATATTTTGTATGAAAATGGAATATGGAATAAAGAAAAAAGTGTGTCCTCATATGAATTATTTAAATTACTTACAGTTTCTTCAATTATCCTTTCTTATAAGCAGTAAAGAATAAAAACTATAATATTCTGTATGCGCCTTTTGACTGAAATTAGGATTTCACATGATAACTTGTGACATATAAATAATGGAAATAGATGACCATAAAATTTCTCATTTGACATGTCTGGTTTTGCGTCTTGTTGACTTCTAAAGGCATTTTACTTTACTAAATGAAATAAACTGTATTTCTGTCATACCTAATGAGGAAATGTGCATTTTGCGGCAAATGGAAGGTTTGTTTGTTATGAATCATTTGTTTCCCTGGTAGAAAGAAATAGATATATTATATCTGTGGGGTTTGGTTTAAAGGTTACTGCTCTTTCCAATTTAAAGTGTTTAGTTATGTATTTGAGTTACTCCTAAAAATATGAAGTGAATTTTGAAGATGAATGAGATAAGCTCTGGATTTAAGGGAGTATTTTGGGTGTTAAATTAATTCTTGCAAGTCTTTAGGCAATTGAGGGATAAATCATCATTCCACCAACTGTTCCAGAGGGAGTTAGCCAATTATGTGAAAATATGCAGTTAAATCAAAGAAAACTTGAAAGTTTAATGCAGTTTATTTGCTTATAACAGCATTATTAACACATATCTAAAATTAAGTACTGCTATAGAAAATTTTTTAAAATATACACATATTTTTTTTCTGAAGAATTTCTAGTAAAGATGGAAAAGGGTCAATAACTTTCTTTCCCAGATGGGGCAGTTCATTAAATCTCCAAATTTTAGAAGCAGCAGCCTTCTCTTAATATCTAAGAAGGTAATGTTGATAATGGGTTATTACAATATATTATTATATGCCCTTGTGTATCAGCTAGATTGCTTAAACTTCCTTCAAATTATGTATGCACAGAGAAGACACTTACTCTCAAACTACACACAGCAGCTAAGGCCACTGGGTTGGAAATTTTTATGCAGTTATAAATAATAAAGTTGTTTCCAAATTATTAATCGAGCTAAGCAAATCTTTGCTAACCTAAGTAGAGTCTTTACTAAATTTTCATAAAGGGTCTGTGTTTGTTTGAGTGTCTGCATTTTCCTCTCTGTTTGAATGGTGAAATATTGTGGAAATTCTTTACATTTGATTATATGGCGCTTAGTGAAGGCTTTGTTCATTTGTCTGAGGCTTAGAACCTTTGGAAAACAGCTCTGTATGGTGCCTTCTCTGAACCACTACCTTTTCCTGTACTCTTCTCAAGTCCATAACTTGGTATTTCTCCAGAATAATCCTTGGTGGTGGGGGTGCTAATGCAAGGTTTGTACGAATAGTATTTTTACAACTTAGGAACAATTGAAATAATTATTTTGTTAAAGCTGCAGTGGGATGATACTCTAGCCCTTGCTATTAATAATATGGCCACATCAGGATCTTATGCTTATGAAGCTCATGCGTTGGGATATTTGTAATCTCTGTATTTTCCTAACTTGCTTTGGAGGTAAGATTGGAGGAGAATATTGTTTGCTTTGCCTTTTCAATTATTGTTCATCCAGTTTGGTAATTCAGTTGAAAATATATGGAATGTTCTCTGTGCACTGCAGACATTAAAATACACAGGCAGAAAGATGCTCCCTTCTCTACAGAATTTAAAAATACATCCTTTTAGCTTAAACAAGGATTTCATATCCTTGAAAAGATTTGTTTATTTTTCTTTTGGTTTGTCTGTATTTTATAATTTATCTATAATATCTCTGTAATAAAGAATAAAAGTTATGAGATTACTTGTCAGTTCCCTAGCATAGAAGGAAAAACGTCATGTTTTCTATCAAATATTCCACAATAGGATAAAATAGCTATTCATTAACATGGAATGAATGCTCAGTAATCAATTAAGCAGTAATTCTTCAGCCACGCTGTGTGCGTCCGCTGTGATACCCAAAGTTACTGCGGGGCCCATTGATCTGTCATCCTCTGGCTTTGGCTGTGATCTTTGACAATAACAATTTGGCTCTTACAGAACATGCTTCTTGATGTCACTCTATGGATTAACTTTGTGGCATATTAGTAACTAAAAAAAAATGCTAAAACAGAGTTTAAAGGTCAGTGTATTTAAAATGACTGCATTAAACAAAATAACACTTTTACATATACACAAAATACCGCGGAATGTAATTGTATTTTTTACAAATTAATGACAGGGCTAATAGAAATTGTTAGTGTATAATTTTCTATGGTTTGGGATGGTCTGGCAGTGCGACAGGAGTTTATCTCTGTGTGATAGATAGACTTGGATCTTCAGTCCTTGGGACTGTGTGTGTGTGTGTGTGTGTGTGTGTACTGTATGTACACCCTCATGGAGAGGTAATGCACAGAGTTTACACTGGCCTGGCACAGATGGCAGGATTGCCACGACGTGCCATTGCTGGCTCTGGGATGCCCTTCCTGGGAACATGCAAGGGCAGGAGATGGGCTTACCCTGCGGCCAGTTTCCTGGGCAGTGAGCTGGAATTTGACTTGCCCCTGTATGTCCCTCCAGCCTGGGGCAATTTAGTCAGCCTCTGGATCGGACACATTTTCCCCTTTTTGTTGGCCTCTTCCCAAAGGAACCACAGAAACTGTTTGTCTGTAAATATTGCCACCGCGACATCAGGCCTCCAGGTGTTGGAAAGCATGTCAGGCGTTGAAATGCGGTATTATCAGCCTCTGTGAGGAGAGAGCCACCAGGAAGGGCACAGCCCGCCTGCTAGCTGAAAGGAGCTAGACTCCGCAGTGTCACGGGCACCCTCACTCTGCATCTCTGAAGAAGGTCTAGAACAAAGGAAGTCAACCAGCAGTTCTTCAAGCCAATCCAGTGAGGAACCCAGACACGTATGTGGACATGGTGTTTGGGACAATGCCAGCCAAGAGGCCCATCGCAAGCGTCAGGCCAAGAAGCTCATCTGTCAGCAGCTCTTATGGGATAAGCACCACATGAGGCAAAATCTTCCCAAGGCATCGTGTTCATCCGAACCAGCACAGTGAGAGCCACCAGCATCCCTGGTGGCCAGGGTCCAGGGCTGAGTGGGGGCACTTTATTATCTGCTTTCCTCTCCCCAACTTCCCTCTTTATCCACAGCTGCCACTATTACCTGAGGACTCTTCCCTCATCTTCTTACATTTCCCCCCATTCTTTGTCCCTCCATCCCTCCCTGTCCCTTCCCTAGCTCAGGAGAGGGAAGATGATTGATAGAGAATTATTTCTCAGTCTTTTTTCATTAATGGCCCCCTGAGAAGAAAATTTAAAGGGAAAGACTAAACACTCAGGAATAATATTTGCCAGGTAGGGTGGAGTTTGGAGGGCTACAAACTATTGGAACGTCTAAGATCTCTTCCCCCCACAAGAATCAATTTACTTCCTTGGCAACAGCATTCTATGGAAACTGCATGGAGTGGGGGGAGTGGGGAGAGATGACCGTGTTTCCTGCCTCTGGCTCATTACCTCCATACACAGCCTCATGGCCACAACCATCGATGTGGCCCAGCGCAGCACCTGAAGCAGGCATGGGAAGGGTTGGAGACCTTAGTCATCTTCAGATCAAGAGGGAAGCCAGTGGTGGCAGGGGTAGGACTCTGCCCCTGGAACTCCCGCTTCCTGGAGAGCCAGAGAGCCGTGTGGGTGTGAGTCTCCCAGGGGAGGTGCCCGCTTGGGTGTCCCACTGGTGGTAAGTCCTTGAGGACCACACTCCCTCTTCTAACTAAATTAGAGTGTGTGCCTTTCAGGTCACAGAAATAGTAAAATGAAAATGAATCCAAATTAAACAAGGACTCCTGTGTACTCACCAAGGGGAAAAGAATGCATAACATTCTATTTATAGTGTGTGGGTCAGTTCTTCTAATGCTTTGAATGAAAAAAAGAAAGGTATTGGAACAGAGCCGTAAGTGATTTCCTTTTAGTCCAAGAACAGAATTTGTCACATGTTGTACATATATACACACCACACAGTCAAGCCAACAACACTGCCCAGTTTAGCTTTCTGAAGACTTTCTTAGTGATAAGCAGTAACAGTAGCCCTTAGAACCGGGAATGGGCTCCAGAAAATGAGCGGATGCAG